CCCCAAAACCCCAAAACCCCAAAACCCCAGAGGGAACCATTTGAATTGAATTTTTTGATAAAGGGAATAATAATTTAATATATTTACAGGGAAAACAAGAATGAATAACCTCAAGCCGATAAAATTAAGAAAAAAGTTGGGACAGAACCAAGAGGAGGAAAAGGTTACCAGACAAAGGCCCAATACCAGTCAAGGAACCGTTCCTCACAGTTTTATGAACACAATAGGTGGAGTTGGATCTAAATTTGATTTAAGACAGGACGATCCATTGCTAGCAGGCCCTTCAACTCCCATTGCAAATCGGTCTCTTATCGGATCAACTCAATGCCAATCGAATAATATATCTAAAAGGTCTATTTATCGTCAAATTGAGGAGGAAGCTCGGAGAGCAGAAGAAGAGGCAATGCGTGAGACTATAAACCATATGAACCAAAGTACTACTAAATTTACCAAAGAAGAGCTCTCAACTGTCTTGGAATCTAACCGGAAAAAGTTTAAGAGTCGTCCGATGACTGCTACTTACCCAAAGAAGAATAATGATTTGAGTTTATTCACAGCTCACAAAGACCTTGGCAGATCGAGAATTATGGAAGAGCCTGCACAAGTGGCAAAGCCTGAGGTTGTTATCTCCAAGAAGGTGCCTGATTCTGCCAATATTTCTACGGTAAGTTTTTATGTGCCCAAGAATGATTAATCAGACTTTAGACCCAAACTGAGGTAAAGCAGCGCCCTCGAAGCAAAATCTCACTAAATAGAAAAGGCATCGCTAATGCTAAGAGCAAACTTAAGGTAAAGATGGATAGGAAGGTTGATATGAAATCTGTGATATTAGCGAAAAATAATGAAAAATTTAAACTTGCCTCCACTGATCTAGCTGATCAGAACACAGCCCAGATGAAAAGACTCGAGAGAAAATTAGACCATGGAATTCCCTTTGCTGGAAAATAATATCGAACTAGGCCCACAGAAATCTCTATTTCCTTCTAGAAAAACAGAACAAGAGATGATAAGGTTTGCAGACACTTTTGTAGAACCTACTCCGAAGGATCTAGGTAAACTTAAGGGAGTTACCAAGATTGAAGGTGAAGAATTTGAGCTGAAGAAAGCTCTAATTAAGCCTAAGAGAAAACTTCTGAAGCCTATCAAGGTCAAGAAGCATTTTGATGTAGACCTTTCCCAGCTCAATACTGACCATCACAGTAAAAAGAGGTTTGAAGAACTTCTCTCTAATTTTAAGAAATCTATTGATACTATGAAAATTAAGGAGGATGATACTGACAACTGCTTGATTGAAGGCAAGAAAGGGCTTGAACTGTACCTCAATAAGAACTACGATTCAGCACTCGTTTGCTTTAAAAATACATTAAATCTTGGCCAGAGTCTGAAGAATTCCAAGTTAAGACTAGATTGCTTAGTGTGGATAGGCTATACTCTCCGAATCTTATTGGAAAACAAAAAGACAACAACTGCTGCTATACCTCCCCAGGCTGACTTCCTTTCTTCCTCAAACGAGGATAAGTCTGAAGAACTGATTGCAATCACTGTTGAATCTTTGGAGACTGCTTATGCCCTTGCAAAGGCTTTGAATGAGACAAAGTTATCACAAGAGTTAATGTGCAATCTAGGAATCATAAGAGGAAACATGACTATGTCAATGTATGCAGACCAACATTTAGCCACACTTGTGAATACAGGTAAGCCTTCTCAACTTATATCCCCTAGAATCATTATATGGAGACCTAGACGACGATGAAGAAGCTATTGAGGGAGAAGAAGACGAAGAAACTAAGGAACAAGTTGACCCTGATGACTATCTTGAAGATTTACCAGTTGGAGAAGCCTTTATGTAGGTTTTAAGAGTTTTTATCAAACTCAATATTCAATTTAAGAGGAATTTTAAGGGGTTTTGGGGTTTTGGGGTTTTGGGGTTTTGGGGTTTTGGGG